CCTCCTCCTGAAACTCACCTTTCTATAAGATTCCTGTAACCCTTTCTCCCGCTTTATCAACCGTGTCTCCAGTAAGGAGACTACTACTGTACATCCTGCTGAGGGAGAGTACATCATGGAGATTTCTCCTCTCTCCTCTCAGCTTCCCAAGTTACTCTGCTTGCTAAGAGTTTCCTTTTTGTCTTCCTTTGTCTATTGCCTGGCCAAAGCTGGGGCCATTTGACTTGTTGGCTTCCCTGTCAAAATCCTCTTCCCTTCTCATTTACCCTCCTCGGCTCTACCAGTGAAATCTGTCCGACAAACAAATTTGATTCAGAAGCCACCTTCTCAAGCCCTCCTTTTGACTCATGCCTGTGCTATAAGGTACAAAAGCTGTTGTCATGGTTACAGCACTGGCGTTCTATCCCAGGGCCTCAAGTGCATCAGGGGAGGGGATTCTGGCTTTGAACTACACCCTAGCCTCCAAAGTGCAAACTATTCTTTCTTTTCTTTTTTTTAAAGATTTATTTATTTATTATGTGTATACAGTATTCTCAGTATTCTGTCTGCATGTATGCCTGCAGGCCAAAAGAGGGCACCAGATCTCATTACAAATGGTTGTGAGCCACCATGTGGTTGCTGGGAATTGAACTCAGGACCTCTGGAAGAGCAGGCAGTGCTCTTAATGGCTGAGCCATCTCTCCAGCTCGCAAACTATTCTTGTATTTGATTTTTTTTTTGACACAGGGTCTCTCTAATAATCCTGGCTCTCTTCCTTTATGAAAGACCACCCATTGGCATTAGTGTCTTAAGAGCATCTCTCTTAACCTCTGAGAGATGGCTCAGCGGCTAAAAGCACAGGCTGCTCTTTCAGAGCTCTGAGTTCCATTCCCAGCACCCACATGGCAGCTCATAACCAGTTACTCTGTAACTGTAGTCCTATAGGACCCAATGACTTCTGGTGTGCAGATGTACATGTAGACAAACCATCCATTCGCGTAAAATAAGAAAATCAAAAAGAGCTTCTTTCCCACCCGCACTGCCCTCCATGACACGCCCCCTTCCCCAGTAGTCCGCTTTAAGAAGCACATTGCAGGTACCAGTAGCTTTGATTAGCTCTCTTAATCCTCCCCATGATGCTCCCAGGTCACCACCTACAGCCCTCTACAGAAGCAGGAGAGAACCGGGCACTGGTCCAAGGTCACACAGCTACTAAGACTAAGGGAGAGTCAGGCTTCCTGTACCCAAGCACCTCTGTGGCACTGACACTGTGCTGCCTGGATTCAGCCATCTGTTTCACTGGTCTCCCTTCCTCCCAAAGAGCAGGTGAGATTCTAGGTCAGCTAAATCCCTTTCCACTCTCCCCAGGCGGAAGGGCTGGTGCCTCCACGACTCTTTCTTCCCAGAGACCGTAACAAGGATGACAGGCTCCTCCTCTGGGCCTCCAGTCCCATTGACCTGAAGGTCTCTGCTCGTCCACCTCAAACCTGACTCAAGACTTTTTGTGGGGATCTGAACCCTGCTTTCAGTGGACCCAAATCATTTCTCTGGGAGAACCTGCCTGAACGGCCTGTCCACCGAGGATACTGGCAGAGTGTGCCCCAGAACCTCCACCTGAGCCACTCTCAGCCATTAATAACACCTCATTCTTTGGGGCTTTTTCTCTAGCCTGCCTCCCCGCACTTCCTTCCTGTGCTTATAACTCTTTACAACAAGGCTGGGTATTTTTAACCTGAGGTTTCCATTTATCTCTCGTCTGTCTGATGGGGACTGGGCTGAGCGGGGGTGCTGGCTAGGAGTGTCTGACCGGTCATCACGGCTGGCCTCTGCCCTGACCTCTGGAGAGAGCTCTCTCTGGCTTGCTTTTCTTGTCTCTTTTTTTCTTTTTGGTTTTTCAAGACAGGGTCTCTCTGCAGCTCTTGTCGATCAGGCTGGCCTCAAACTCACAGAGATCTGCTTGCCTCTGCCTCCCGAGTGCTGGAATTAAAGGCGTGCGTCACCACTGCCGCCCGGCTCTCCCTAGCTTTTGAATTGGCTCTGGGGCAAAGCTTTGGAAACTGCACAGGATACCGGAGAAGTTCACACCGACAGTGCTGGGAAGACTGTCTGTGCTAGGAACCTCATGCTCCGGCAAGCTGGGATCAGCCACCAGGCTATGTCTTGATCCGCTTTTCCTGATCTTCATTATGAGCATGGTAGCCCTTAGGTCTCAAGGACTCGATCCCTCTCCCTTCCTCCCTTTGAACTCTAGTGCTGGAGTCAAGGCCCTGAACTGAGTCACACACCCAGATCTTGCTTTGGTCTTTTGTGACATAACTCGGAGAGCCCCATGCTCCCTCCTGGCCCCTCCCCACATCTGCTTCCATGCTGTCCTATCACGGCACCATCCTGGCACGCCCATCATTTCCTACTGCATCCTCCCCGCCATCCTCACCTGCGTGGACTTCCCCACCCTTCCATATCTGTCTCACTTCTCTGCATCCAGGTGCTTCACGAAGAAACTTATTCTAAGTCCAAACAACCACAAAGAAAAGGTGACTGGGTGTTCAGAGTTTTGGTGTGTGTGTGTGTTTCTTTCCACATCTAGTTTTCTTAAAAAACAAAACAACAACTAAACAGATTGATAGGAGAGAGGCTTCTTTCCCCTCCTCCCCCTCCTCCCCCTTTCTTTTTATAACCGACAGTGACTCAGCCCAGGCTGCCAGGCCCACATCTAATGTTCTCCAAGGTAACTGATAGTCACAAAGATCGCCCCAGGCGCTATGGTCTCCTACTTTGTACTGTGAGTCACACTGTAAAGGATTAGATAGATATTCAACCTTGTGTTTATATCTGCCGATAGCTTTTAAAATTGTATTTATTTATTTTATGTGCATGGCTGTTTCGTCTGCTTCTATGTCTGTGTGCCACGTGCATGAATTCCCACAGAGGCCGGGAGAGAGCATCAGATCCCCTAGGACTGAAGTTACAGAGGATTGTTAGCCAACACGTGGACGCTGGGACTAGAACCTGAGTCCTCTGGAAGAGCAGCAAGTACTCTGAACTGATGAGCCAGCTCTCCAGCCCCTCTGGCAATAGCTTTTATAATGTTAGTTCCTTTTGAGCATTTGCCCTCTGATGTCTTAGGGACTTTTCAGTTAGGCAGCCTATCTCCCCACCCCCACCCCCCCACCCCCGTGGGCTGGTGGCATTCAGGACTTGTTGACTGCGCCAAATATCTGTCGTTCTCATCTTCAGCCTCCACCCCAGCCACACCTCTGTTTCCCACTCTTGTAACTGTCCTCACCACTCCCTCTGGTTCCGCTGCCCCACAGCCCCATGTCCACAGCCCCGTGTAGCAACGCCTGCAGGCCCCACTGAGAGCCAGCTCCTCTTGCTGTACCTTTGGTGACTGGTTTAGTCTGCAAATATTAATCGGGCATCCCAGGGAACAGAGAGAGCTGTGTGGGGCAGCCACTAAGAAAAGCACAAGGAAATATGTCAGTATCACTTCTGGGGCAGCGCATTCTCTTGCCTGTTTCCCGGAGAGCAACTTCACTAAAGTCCAGAGGAGCACACAGCTGAGTGGTGGGCGCTAAGGGGACCTAGGCAGGGTTAATCAGAAAAGTCTTCCCACTGGAGCTAAACCTGCATTATCAGGAATGCTGGCCAACCTGGGCAAACAGGTGCACGTGGTAGGGAGCCCATCCTAATGGTGGGACCAAAATTCCCTGTTACCTCCACCAGGAAGTTGCCTTCTGAATCCTAAGCGGCTCCTTCCTCTCTGGGTTAACTGGCTCATAAAGACTGGGGGCCAGCCTCACCAAGGAGGAAGTGGACTGGCTTCCTGTTTGTTTGTGACTCTCAGAGCTGCGGGGCCCAAGCCATGTACAGCAATCCAACAGAACAATCTGGTCTGAGCCAAGAGTCCTGGGGAGCTTGTCTGCCCACCAGCACACCCTCCGCAGCTGGGCGTCTCAACACTCCATCCCAGAGCAGTGGGCACTCAGAAGGGCAGATCTGGAGCAGCTAAGCCTGCAGATCAGGAAGAAGGCAGCAACTTCCTCAAAAAAGCCAAAGTCAAATAATTCGCAATGTTAAGCCACTGGGAAGCTCAAGGCCCAGAGCGTTGCTGTCACTCTTACCCCAAAGGATATTTCCTGGAAGAGACCCTGGGTACAATCTTGTGACCTGTGATCAAACCAAGTGCAGGGATCTCGGGTCTTTTTAAGAACCACACAGCAAGGGGCTGAAGAGATGGTTCAGTGGTTAAGAGCACCGGCTACTCTTCTAGAGGACCCAGGTTCAATCCTCAGCACCCACGTGACAGCTCACAGCTGTAACTCTTGTTCCAGGGGGTCCACTTCCCCCATACAGACACACTTGCACACAAAACATCAATGTATATAGAATCAAAATAAATAAGTTAAGAAAAGGAACCAGGCAGCAAGTGTAAGATTTCCTTAGCAACAGTAAAAGTCAACTAGAGACAAAAAAAGCACAAAACACCCTTCATGAATCCGCATGAAAGAAAAGATGTCCTGAGTTTAATTCCCCAAATCCTACAGGACTATTTTGTTTCGGTTGGTCTTGTTTTTGGAGACAGGGTTTCCCTGTGTAACATCCCTGTCTGTCCGGGAACTCAAGAGATCCGCCTACCTCTGCCTCCAGACTGCTGGGACTAAAGGCGTGTGCATGCACCACTGCTGCTGCCGCCACCACCACACTGAATCATCGAAGTTCTGCACACGTGTGCTGTGGCGTGCACAAACACTCCCCCCCCACACACACCAGTGTAATGCAAAAAGCACAGAAAGACTAGAGCGAGAGAGAGTCCCACTACCATTTCTCTCGGTTCTCCCCAAACCACTTTTTGATCACTTAAATTTCCTTCCTCCACAAAAAGAAAAATTCAGTAGGGCAATACTCTTAGTCTTTGAGAAAGATCATATTTATAGCACCTGATTATCCTCCTCCTTCCAAAAATGAATATTTAACATGATTTATGTATGCACGTGTTGTGTGTATGTCTGAAGTATTACCTGTGGGCAAAGAGAAGATGGTCCATTCCGTTTTCTTTTTTACATTTCTCTGTGTCGTTGACAGTCAGGAGTATTAAGCCGTCAAGATTCTTCTAGATGTGCAGGACGAAGCAGGGTGGGGCTGGGGTCAGTGATTCCCTGAGCCTGTGGCAGGGAGGAGGTGGGAACGACGCTTCACTCTCAGATCTGAACGCATTAGTCACGGTGTAGAGGAGCCCACGTTCTGCTTTGTGGATCCCTTACGGCCGAAGTCAAAGCCCTCTAACCATTTGGCTCCCTTCCAACCACTCCCTTTTTGTTTCTTCCCCATTTCACCTCCTTATAGTTTAGCTTTTGGCCAGAGCCAGATAATAAAGAAGAGAAATCTGAAGGAAAAAGAAGAAACTCAAAGCCGGACGGTGGTGGCGCATGCCTTTAATCCCAGCACTTGGGAGACAGAGGCTGACGGATCTCTGTGAGTTCAAGGCCAGTCTGGTCTACGTAGAGCTAGTTCCAGGACAGGCTCCAAAGCTACAGAGAAACCCTGTCTCAAAGAAACAAAACAAGAAGAAGAAGAAAAAGAAACTCAGTATTATAAGGCCCTTTAATACAGATGACCCGATCAGCCATCATGTGGACTAAGCCTTTTAAAAAACTCTTATTTTATTTATGTGTGCGGGTTATTATTGCTGTTGTTTGGTTCTGCATGCATCTGTGTGCCACCTGTATTCCTAGTACCTGCCATATCCGGAAAAGGGCATCTGATTCCCTGGGACTGGAGTTACAGAGAGTTGGGAGCCACCTTGTAGGTGCTAGGAATCAGAACTGCATCCTTTGGAACAGCAGCCAGTGCCCTTAACCGCGGAGCTCCTTCTCCAGTCCCTGACTGAGCTTCTTGAAAAATGACCTGTGTCATATCTGCATTTTCATTCTCTGGAACATCTAACCTAGGAATGCCCTCAGTACGTGTCCATGACCCTGGCTGGAAGCGTGAATAAACAAGATCATTCACAGCATTTGCCTTTTCAGGTCTATCCATTCATAAAACACCCACAAGATTTCAGGTCCTTAAGCACTTGACCTATCAGATTTTAAAAAATAATCTAATTTTAGGCACATTGGTGTGATGGCGTCGGATTCCCTGGAACTGAGTTACAGACAGATGTGAGGTGCCGTGTGAGTGCTGGAAATGTTTGGACCCAGGTCCTCTGGAAAAGCAGCCAGTGCTCTTAACCGCGGAGCCATTTCCCCAGCCCCAGTCTATTAGTTTAATTGTGGCTCTCCTCCCAAGAGTTTTGGGAAACTGAATGGAAAACTAGTATCTCAGAAAGAAAATCGGATGTTCCTTTCGTGTCCTATAAATTCATTAACAACTGGATAAACTCCCTCAAACTGACCTCAAGCTACTAAAATCTAAACATTCAGCACCCTGAGAACCTCACGGGTCTAAGAACGGGTGGGACCAGAGCTGCCTGGAGGTTCGCTTCTTCTTGGTAGAAACATGGGTGGCACCAGTTTGGCTTGAGGTTGGGACAGTTTGCTTATTTAGAGCCACAGATGCCCGGGGTGTTCTATATCAGGAAGTCATCTACAGAGGGTCACCTCAACCTATTTGCTTATCTTCAGTGTTGGCCAGAACACATGAATCTTTTTCTGACCATCTTGTTCCTGTCAACCAGCCTGGAAGCAGCGATGGCAATCAGGCTTCTGCCATCTGGTGGCGAAGAGCAGCCATAGCCACGGTGGAGAAGAACAGCCAGAGCCACCCCTGGCTCAGGGTTTGGCGCTATGAGGAGGGTGACTTCTGAGAAGAAACACTGGGTTCGGAACTTGCCCAGCACAGACCCTTCCCACAGACAACAGCAGCTCTAAGACCTCGGCAGGAGGCAGAAACTCTCCGCAGCGCTCTGCTGGAGAGTACATCCATGTCTTGCTGCTTATCCTTCCACAGCACTGTCAAGATGACGATGTTAGCCAACTTTATTTTGCTGCAGCCGAAATACCTGAGAAAAATCAGCTCACAGGGGGGAAAAAAAAGGTTTACTTGGACTCAGAATTTCTGAGGCGTCAGTCATGGTTAGCTGGCTCCATTGCTTTCAGGCCTGTGATGAGGCAGAAACTCAAACCAGTGAGAGCAAGCGTGTGTGGGGGGACACTGCTCACTTCATAGCAGTTGGTGGTGAAGAGGAGAGGAGAGGAGGGGAGGGTGAGGGAGGGGAAGGGAGAGGAGGGGAAGAGAGGAGAGCCAATCACTAGCCCATGCTGACTGACTTCTTCCAATGAGGCCTCACTGCTAGTTTCCTCTCTCCTAATGTCATTACATTGTAAATCCATCAATGGACTAACAGTGTGTGTGTGTGTGTGTGTGTGTGTGTAGAGTTGTATGCATCGACCAGCCTATGTGCAGAGACCAAGCCTGGTGTCCTGCTCTATTACTCTGAATTGTCTTAGGATAGGCTGTTTTGCTGAACCTGGAGTTTCCTTTTTATTAGTTGTTTTGTGGCTAGGCTGGTGGCCCAGGACCCCAGGACCACTGTGTCTCTATCCAAGTCCACGCTAGGGTTACAGACACAATAGTGATACTTGCCTTTTTATAGGGGTGCTGAGGATTTGAACCCAGGCTTTAATGCTTACGTGTAAAGCACATCAGCCCCCTCCCCCAATCACACCTTTGGACATTGCACTGGGAACCAACCCTTCAATTCAGTGCCTTTTCTATCCAAAGGATGAGAGCCATATCCTCAGGGATTTCTGCTGTAGCTGCTCTTGCTGTGATTTTATTGTGGGATACTGCAGAGGGAACCCCCGAACCTTGGACCTGCTAAGCAAGTGCTCTCTCCTTCAGCTACATCTCCATCCCTCTCAATTTTGTTTTTATTTATTAAAAAACAAGCAAACAAACAAAAAATCAGGGGCTGGAGCGATGGATCAGAATTCAAGAGCTCTTCCAGCGGACAGGGGTTCAATTCCCAGCACCCATATGGCGGCTCACATCTGTCTGTAACTCCAGTTCCAGAGACTCCAACACCCTTAGACAGACATGCAGGCAAAATACCAATGCACATAAAATAAAAATAAATCATAAAGGGTAAACACATATCTAAAAAAACAAACAAACCCAGGGTGAAGAATTTGTAAAATTGACCAGCGATCCCCCAAGAGCCAGAATTCAACCCCAAACCTCTCCGGTTCTAAAGCGCTCCCTCTACTTGGAGTGGCTGCGGGAGTATCTTCCGCTCCTTCAGCCAATAGTCGCTGAAGTACGAGCCCACAATGCTGCAGGAGCGCCTTCCATTCCTTCATTCAGCCAATAGCCACTGAAATACCAGCCCACTGGGGCGTGGTATATTTCTCTTTTACAAAGAGTCGCAAGTCTCGGCTCGGTCTCTCTTGGTTCCGGCTCCTGCTCCAGCGACTAGGCTCCTTTCCTGACGGTTTGTGTGTATGTAAGTTTTACCCCCCCAAAATAAGTACCCCTTTAAAACCTAACTAGTGTGGGATTGATTCGCCATTATGGAGTTGCCTTCTAGAGTGAGAGACTGGGAAGCTCCACCCAGTGGACATCTTCATCCTGGCAGGAAGCACCGCTGCAGGTCACTGGCATGAAGGGGCTTCAAACGAGAAGGTACTGTTCTGCGTCCTGCCCAGTCTAGTCTAGCTGGTGACAAAACCGTGTTCACGAGAGACAGGAAAGATCATGCCAGCACCTGTGAGTGCAAAGGAAGGATTTCCAAGTCAGGCAGCCCCAAGCACGGAAGCAGCTGAGAGCTGAGTGCCAGGCTGGGAGTAGCACTAGACAGTGTGCAGACATCTGGACTTCTCCAGTGACCCTTGTAGAAAGGAGCTGCGGGCAGGCCTGCTTTTCGCCTCACCCGGCTCCCGCACGGCTAGCTTAGTCCCAGAAATAACAACACACAAATTGTATTCATTTAAACACTGCCTGGCCCATTATCTCTAGAGAGTTAGTTACTGACTAACTCTCATATCTTGATATTAACCCATTTCTAATAATCTCGTGGTAGCACCACGAGGTGTGGCTTACCGGGAAAGATTCAGTATGTCTGACCTGGTGGCTGGCTCCATGGCATCTGGCTCATTGCCCTCTTCCCAACATTCTATTCTGTTTACTCCGCCTACCTAATTTTCTGTCCTATCAAAGGGCCAAGGCAGTCTCTTTATTGACCAATGAAAATAACACAATAGACAGATAACCCTCCTCCATCAGAACCTGCTACCTGGATCCTGTGGGATGTTGGGCAAGGCTCCTGGCCCTGCACACCTAAAGGAAGGAGGGTTCCCAAGGAGCTAAAAACTCCTTGCTCAGTTCCATGCTGTCTAGGATGTCCATGAAGTCCTGGAGGAAAAGATGAGCCAAAGAGGAACTTGACAAAGGTAGAGGTGGTGGTGGCTCAGGGTAAGGAGAAAATCCCCGAAATTGCAAAAGATCATGTTTGGCACAATCTCCCATAAAGAACATTTGCAAGTTCTCTTTGGGTCTCTGACTGTCTCAGATGGATATAACCTTAGCTAGAGGCTGAAGCTGCCGAAACCCGACTTTTGGGGGTCAGGGGGCTCATCTCTGCCCTTGTCTCCATCCTAGGCTGTGTCTTCTTGCATGGTCAAGTGGTCCAGCAGCAAATAATTCCCAGAGGACAGAGCTATGGAAGTAAAGGCATTTGACCTACATGTAGAGCTCCTCAGACCCATTGGAGACTATGTGATTCCCCTTCTTTCCTACTCCCTGTTTGCTCCCCCACCCTCCTTCCAGGGCCTTGGAGATGTGTACAAGCCAGTGAACAGCAGACAGTGCGGGTCTGTACATCAGAGTCTCGGTGTAAGCCCTCCTCAGACCACTGCAGCCTTGGGCACAATCAAGGACCCTGGTGACAGCCCACTGCACCTAACAACTCCTCCTGGGACCTGAGACCTCCAGATTCCAGAGCTCTTTGCAAGTCAGGGGTCAGCCGTGCTTTCTAGAAAGGGAGAGACAGTATTTCAGGCTCTGTGGGCCACACGGCTTTGCTGCAACCCTGCAATGCTGCACACAGTTGGAGCACTTGAGAGCATAGATAACTGTGCCCCAGACAAACTCAGCCATGGACATTAAGCCTGGACATTTCCACGTATCACAAAATAGTCTCCTTTGATATCCCCCCTCCAACCCTTCAAACGTGTGGAAACAGCTCCTAGCTCGTGAGCCGTATGAAAACAAGTAGCAGTTACTGTTAACTGACTCGCAGGTGACTTACAGCTCGGGCAGCCAATCTTCG